AACACCTACATGTCCAACAGTTGCAAGATGTTTGAGGCCACATTGCATAGAAAAAGCAAACTGGCTGATTGACCCGCTTCCAATTAAAAAACGATATATTGGATTACGAGATATTTTAGATTTACAGCTATACACAGTGTAACCTTCCCCCTTAAAATGTACTTATCATAAACCTAATGTGACTCAACACCTCTCATTATCATCAACGAAAAATGGCAACCTGCTTATGCACTTGATACAGAGGAGGGCCTGCTCCGCAGGGAAGATCATCACTGTAAAGATATAAATTACCACTAGCGTGAGATGCCAAAAAACTATGCGGTTGTCCTAAAAAAAATTTATAAAAAATTTCGCGCATCAATGCAAAATCTGTTCCTAGGACACTATGACGCTGTTACAACGTAACCATCATATAAAGAACATGTTAACGGTTTCACAGTTACAGCTAGAAATTCAACGGAAAAACTAATGAAATACAGTTAGTACAAGTTACATACAGCAGTTCAAAAGATAAATAGTGTATAATGAAAATAAACAAATTGACCCAAAACAATGTTTTACAAACGGTAATTCTGGTATTTCACTTTACCTGGCACCCATTTAAGGCAGGTAACAGGAGACTTATCAATAAAGCGATCCTCGTTGAATAATCGGCTAATTTGAAAGTCTTTTTGAAAAGGATCAATTAGCTGGATCTGTCCAGCAGAAAATCCAATAATTAAGCTGAAAATAAAAAACCGTAAAAGCATTGGAACAAAGGTACTTTTAAGCTCCAAAAAAAACTTGAAAATATTACTCTTACCTGCAGGACGAAGAAGTTGCGGTTTCTTTGTTAAAGTCATGACAAGTCGGAAAAGTACCTTTATATACACGCTTATCAACTGGCTTATTCAAGTCAACAGCTTTATTGATACCTCTAAATTCCCGAAAAATCAAGCCATTTTGATGGGTTAAGAGGTAAAAAACAACGAACTACCAAGCTACGAAATTGAAGCCAGCGAAAAAATTACCGATATACATAGACATAAAGTTCACGGCCGATATTGAAACAGATAAGATCTTTCGGTGTAACAGAATCATTGTCAGAACGAGATACAGAACTATAGGATGTCAATCCTTTACAGTTAGGGTAATCTTTTAGAATCTGCGGTTGCGGTAAATCACCATTCACGGAAACCGAGCTTTCAACATTGCCATGACTCAAAGGAGTGTTACTGGAAATAGTTAGGAAGGAGACACGGACAGGTGTACTTCCAACAGTGGCACTAGTCTAAAATGAGTTAATATTGTTTCGCATCATTTAGAAAGAAAGGTTACACTTTCTAGCCTCCATTGAAGGTTATACGGAGAATCACATGTAAAAAATAAAAAGCACGGGGAAAAAACACGAGGGTTTATACCTGATTATAAGAAACTCGACTGGGCCGAGTGTATTCAGAAAGGGTCATCTGTTTATAAACTCCTTCGCGGGTGATAAACTGCGTTTTTAATTCGTCTCGTGAATTCGCAATCGGAGATCCGTGAGCACTATTGCCACTGCCAGAATAACAACTTACTGTATTCATTGTATATCGACCAGACAATGAACCTCCTCCGCATTAAAACCTTTAAAAGTCTTGCTTAATAAAAAGCCACAGCAAAGTAGAAAAAAATTTCTTGAACCGTATCACTCAAAGACAGTTCATAGTCCTTTATTCATGGCAAAAGTTACTAGTTTAAAACCCCAACGTTATAGCATTCACCAAGCCTTAATAACGAAGAAAATTTCTTGAGCGTTTTCTTTTTTACATTACATCAACTGACAAGCAGATATTAAAAAACAAGCGTATTACAGCCTGTTAGCGCAATTTCAATCAACTACTCCAATTTAAGCGCAGAAGTCACAAATGTCTCATTTTAAACTGTTTATACGTATAATAAAACGCCTACATAACAGCGCCAACGAAGCAAATTTAGCCTCCATAAACTGACTATAAATATGTCTACTAAAGATTTCATACGCCACCAGATAATAACAGTAATCGTAATGATAATAAAAATAATAATAACAAAAGTAAAAATAATAGAAATAATAATAAAAAATAATAATAATAACGAACTAAACTTACAAA